TTGAGGCAGACCAGCATGGAGAGAGCAGGAGCAGGGCAGATCTGTCTAGCTAAGGAGGCTGCCTTCAGGCACTGGACTGAAGCATCCTGGAGATATACATTGAGCTGCTGGTTTAAGTAATGGAAGCTTTAAAAAAAAGTTTATCAGGTGAGGCAGGAGAGTGAGAAGCTAGGAAAATTCCTTGGCAAGTGGAATGCAGAAACACACAAGATAATTAAACAAGCCAAACAATTTCATCGATGTACAGCCAGCTAGTAAATTATAAGACCTTATTGTCCCTAACCAAGGGCACCTGAGAACAAATGGTTTCTACTTCTCCTCCCTGACCACAGAAAAGTTTAAGTCACCCTGTTCAGGGAGAAAGAAAACAGAGACCCAGTTAATGCCATTTGTGCCAGCCAAACCCAAGGATGGATGGAGTCAGGGGAACAGATAAAAACTCAGTTAGAGCCTGACAGACCCAAGATAAAAGCAGCTGGCCAGTGAATAATGCCAAACTCCCCTACAGCTTCATTTTGATGCATCAGCGTATTCACTCAGCTAGAAAGCTGATGAATATTCTACTGAACGTCTCCCCTAGATTCTCACCCACAGAAGATCAAAACCCTCAAGACAAAGGATGCCAGCGGGTTCTCACTCTCTAACATGCCTGTGCCTTTTCTTTGGGCAATGAACTTTTTACTTTCTCCTGAACTCTAAGAGTCCCCATGAGACTTGCAACCAGGGGAGAAGTGGGCAGCTACAGCTGTCCTGGGCTTATCCTTGAACCTGTGTCCAAGGTCAACTATTTTCTATTTCTAGCTAGTGAACTAACTTCAGCCTGCCTTGGGCCCCTTTGCTTTGCAACGTTGGCAGGGGGCCAAAGCAGAACCACCGGGCCTCTCTTGTTGCTCCCTCTACCCTAAGCCCTCCCTTATTTCACCGTCCCCAGCTTTCAAATAAAGGAGCTCTTAAACTCACGTGGGGTCAAGTATGAAATCTTTCCTCCAGGAAGTCAAGGGTCCATATGTTACATGCCAGCCTGGGGAATACCAACTCTAGCAGTTTCTTAATCACAGCGCAGCACGGCCAGCACTTGGTTTTGCAATCTGGAGCGGGGGGCGCGGCCGGGCCGGGCCAGTGATGTCACCGGCAATGGCGCCGCCCGAACCTCAGGTTTTTTCCTAGAAGGAGGTGTGAACCCTGGCAAAGCTCAGCGGAAGGCTGCAGCAGCGGCGGCGGGCGGGGACATGAGCGGGATCCTCGGAACACGTTACGTGCACGTTACGTGACCGTGACCACGGATCCTCCGAAAGTTGCGGGCGGGGCCAGGCATGCGCGGTCCGGCATCCAATTGCAGAAGGTGCCGCTCTCCACAGCGCCCAATGAGGAGATTTCTGGCTCGCTCGGTACTGCTCATTGCCTATTAGGATCGGGTGCTTCGTTCTTCAGGAAAAACTTGTGAGGCGGCCACCTAGGCAGGGACCCCGGTTGGGCCCCCGGCCGACCCAAACCCAGGCCCAAACCAGGCAACCGAGACCCAAACCAGGCATGGCTCCGGACGCGGAGGCGGCGGCAGCCCGCACGCTGTGTGTCTTTGTGTTGACGCTTCTGGTCCTGGTTTTGGAGCTCCCGGCGCTCACCGCAGGTACGAGGTTGGGGGGCTGGGGAGTTGGAGGATGGGAAAGGTGCGGGGTGGTTGTCGGTAGCTGCTCTCTGGTCGACCCCTTCCGGAGTCCCTGAGTCTGAGCTCTACTTTTTGAAGTTAATTCATTTATTAATTCGACAATTAGATAATGATGCTGTCTGCGCTTGTAGGACCCTGTGACTGCCTCCTTCTGGTTGAGTGCTTTGTGGATTTTTAATTTATTTTTAAGTATGTTTTGTCGATTATGCTTTTACAGTTTTCCCAATTTTCTCCCCTTTATCTCCCCTCTGCCCTGCACCCCCCAACCCTCCAGCATCCCCCCGCCCATTTACTTCATATCCATGGGTTTAAGTTCTTTGACTTAAGTCCGTTTCCTATGCCATTCTTAACTTCTCCCCGTCTATTTTATGCCTACCAATTACGCTTCTTATTCTCTGTACCTTTCTCCCTCCATCTTTCCCCACCCCGTCCCCACTGAAAACCCTCCATGTGATCTCCTTTTCTCTGCTGTGGATTTTAGCGCCTCTATTGCATCATCCTAGATGCTGGAACTTTGCTAGATGAGGCATCTGGCATTTTACTAAAGTCTTTAAAGAGAGTGAATGGTGATATTCAAACATTTCATGTTCACTAGTAAGTCAAACAAGATGGGGCCTTTTAAACAAAGGTTTTCATTTATTAAAAAAAATGAAGAAAGGAAGAAAAGAAAAGAAAATCTGCTCCTGAAACATAGAGAGCTCAAGCTGGATAATGAAAATGACAATTAAAGGAGTGTATTGGGCTGGCCAATAAGTTTGTTACATTGTTTCTGCAAAATAACATTTCTTATTTTTAACAATAACTTTATTGTTGGATATTTTGGGTATGTTGGCTATCTCTCACTATTGGTTTCTAATGGGTAGAGGCCAGGGGTGCTGCTAAACATCTTCCAATGCATAAGACAGCCCCAGGAGAAAGAATTACTTCGCCAAAATGTCAATAGTATCAAGAAACTTTGCAAATCACTGTTAACACATCTGATCAGTCACAGCACCTTCTCCATACACTGCACAAATCTTTTTTTGTGTTTCAGTTGTGTTTTTTCCTTTATTGAAATAATGAAGCATAATATGCCTAAAATATTGTGTATCTTCTTCCATCTTCAGTATTAAATGGCTGCACAAAAATTCACCAATTTTGCTAAGTTTCTTTAAAATGCACACTGATATGATAACTGTCATAATACAGTCTAATAAAATTGCTTCGAATGAAGTTACAGACAGCTAAGTACTAGTGGAGCCATCATACAAAAAAAACCCAGAAATGAACTTTACGGCCAACACAACATTATATAAGATTGAAGCCCTGGCCTGGCAAATGCCTGCCATGGGCACTGCACAAAAGGAATGTCTACCAAGTCCCTTTGTGGTGCCCTACAGCCACCCCTAAGTTACTTTGGGCCCCTGAGTGGAAGGGGTCCTGTAAACATTCTTGCATTCACATCCTCCCTCCCTCACCCCATTTCCGTCTGGTTGTCTTCACCTCACCCTCTACCCTAGCCATCTTGTCAGATTCTCCTATCACTTTCTCATTGCTCAAACACATGTCACATATGGCCTCTTTGTATTCCTTGAATCTCAGACATTCCTTCACTTTCACTGTAGAGTTTTCCACGTTGAGGTGTCGCCGCCTTTTCCTGTGCTGCAGGAGTTCTGGACAGGTCCCTCCTTGTCTAGCCTAACCAAGTGCTGAGAACAACAGACTTGAAGACCTTTTCCCTTTCCATGCCCCTGCCTTCCTGCCCATTCCAGTGTTCTGCAGGCAGCGAGGAAGACCCTCACGCTGACCTGAATGAACTGGAGCAACAGTTAGGAGTTTGCAGACAGTGCAGCCTCCAACTGCAGTGAAAGAGTCTCTTTGCTTTTCCTGTGAACAGTGCTGGACATGTTTCTGTTTATTGAACAAGAAACCAAAAGCCTGAAAAGCATATGAAGAGATATTTTAAGTGATTACCAACGAGAGAACAATAGTTAAAACAGTAGTAAGAAACCATTTGACATTTATTAGACAGGCCCAGACAGTCTGGGGGATGCCAAGTGGTTGTTGTTGTTGGTGATATGGGAATCTAGACCCGGTGTGTGTCCATCAGTGGGCCTATAGAGGAGCCAGGTGTGGATATAACTTAATACCATTTCTATAAGTTTGAGAAACAGAAAATGACAGTATTTTTTTAATCCTCACTTGAGGATATGATTTTATTGATTGTAGAGAGAGAGGAAAGGGGAGTGGAAGTGGGGGGGAGAGAGAGAGGGAGATAGAAAGAGAAACAGAGAGAAACATCTATATGAGAGAGAAGCATTGATTGGTTGCCTCCCATATGTGCCCTGACTAGGGATCGAACCCACAGCCTTTTGGTGTATGAAATGACACTACAATCAATTGAGCCACGTGCTCAGAGCAGAACAAGACAGTTTTAAAGAGAACAAAAGTATAGATTTTAAACATCTTAGATTGGTTGCCTATTGGGGGGAATGGAAATAAAAAAGAATAACTATTTCTATAGACATGCGATGAGAAATCTGAAAATAAGATTGATAACATAATTTTACATATAGTATCACCAAAAAGAATAAAATACTTAGGAATAAATTTAATAAGAGAACCACAAAACTTATACTCTGAAACCTGTAAAACTATTGTTGAAAGAAATTTAAGAAGATCTAAATAAGTGATATGGAAAAACATCTTGTCTTAGTCTTCCCAGGCTGCCAAAGCAAATACCTTGGACTGAGTGGATTAAAGAACAGAAATTTATTTCTCACAGTTCTGGAGGCTGGGAAGTCCAAGATCAAGGTGTTGACTGCTTTGTTTCCAGTGAGAGGCGTATTTCTGGCTGGTTCCTGAGCACCTTACTCTGTCCCCAGGTGTGGAGAGATGATTTCTTTCATCCCTCTCCTGCCTCTTGTGAGGGTACTGATCCCATTCAGGAGGGCTGCACCCTCATGACCTAATTCCCTCCCAAAGGCCCCTCCTCAAACACCTCCACACCGAGGATTGTGAATTTCAGAGGGACGCAAACACTCGGTCCATAGCGCATCCCAGAAGCACATTCATGGGTTAGAAGACAACATTGTTAAGACGGCAGTACTCCCCAAACTGATCTACAGACGCAATGCGATTCCTATTAGAATGTCTGCTGACTTCTTTGGAGCAATTAATAAACTGCTTTGAAAATTTCCATGAAATTGCAAGAGGCTCAGGATAGCCAAAACAGTCTTGAACAAAAAGAACAAAGTTGGAGGATCTTATGTGGATCAACGAGAGGTCATGAACTGAGGGCCTCTGTGTGGGAGACCCCCGGCCCAGAAAAGGAATTTGTTTCCAAGTACATGGTAGTGTTTGAGAGTACCAGCCCTGTGTTTTTCCCCCAAGGTTCTCCCATAACTGAGTTTTCTTGTTGCCACAGAGTCCTTGAGAGTGAAGATGGCAGGGAAGACTCAGACTGTGTTGCTGAATCACAATGCCACCATCTCCTGCAAGGCCCTTGGTTCTTCACCCCTGAACATCAAAAATATGGGTGTTATCTGGTCTCGGAAGAACCCAGTGGATGGAAGAGATGTCACAGTGTTTCGACTTTATGGAGACCGCCGAGAGGCACTCAGAGGAGGAGCCAGCGTGTTTCTTCAGGGGCTGGCGAAGGGGGATGCCTCCCTGCAACTGCCTGAGGTCCAGCTGTCTGAAGCAGGAGAGTACCGATGTAAGGTGGTAAATACCCCTCTCAGGGGCCAGGGGACAGTCCTTCTGAAGGTTGTAGGTGAGTGCCTGGTGGGGGTGTCCTGTGGTTCCCACAGTGGATGGGCCAAGTGGAGCAGAGGGTTGGGGCGTGGGCCTAAGAGTCAGATAGACATGGGTTTGATCCTGGGCTTTCACAGACACCTGGTCAACTTAAGGCAAGTTATTGCTCAAGGTGAACCTCAATGTCCTTTGCTCTAAACAAATGTAATGGTACCTACCTAAGAGGATTGAAAAATGCTTAGTGTAGTGCCTGGCCCAGTAGAGGTGCTCGGTGGAGGAAGTCCCTAGTAATGATCACACAGTTCACCTAGTGTGGGGACAGTCAGTCAGGGCTCACTGAAGAGGTGCCTCTGGAAAGCAGCTGGGAGCAGATGTGAATCCTGTTCCAGCTGGGCTGCTTCCAAACTGGGCGATGAGGCCAGCCATTCAATGTTTTTGGACCTGAAATTTTCCCACGTGCAAAATGTGGTGATGATCATACCTACCTCTTAGTGTTCTGAGGACTGCATAAGACATTGTATGAAAAGGGTGAGCCAAGAGCTGAGTCAGGTGCTCGGACAAGACATGTAACAACAGCAGTGTCCTCGAAATGCTAACTTGAGGCCCACTTTCCTGTTATAAATAGTTCTGGAAATGCAACGTGGATGAGCTTGCAGGGAGGGTGGATTACTTCGCTAGAGCAGCCATAACAAAATACCACTGATTACACAATCACAGAAATAACAGAAATATATCGTCTCGGTTCTGCAGTTTAGACGTCTGAGGTGGAGGTGTCAGCAGGGTTAATTCTTCTGCTGCCTTCCTCCTCGGCTTGCAGACATCCCTCTTCTTCCTGTGTCTTTGCAGGGTCTGCCCTTGCGCCTGTGTCTGTGTCCTCATCTCCTTTTCCTATAAAGACATGAGTTAGATTAGATCAGGGCCCAACCTGATGACCTCGTTTTAACTCAACAACCTCGATAAAGACCCTTCCTTCAAGTACAGCCTCGATCTGAGGGACTGGGGTTAGGACTTCAACCCAGGAGTTTGGGGGTGGGAGACACAATTCAGGCTGTGACAGGGCGGCCGCGCCTATGAGCCTCTGAAAATGTACTTAAGACTTTGAGTGTTTTATACATACTAACTTGGGGGATGGGAATGTGTATTAGAATTCATTTCCCCTGCAACTGACAGAAAGCCTAAAATAAAAAACTTTAAAAAAACAATAGACGTAATTTTTCAGAACAGTTGTAGATTTACAGCAAAGTTGCCAAGATAGTGCAGAGGTCCTGTCTCTGCACACCACTTCCTGAGTTGCTAACATCTTGCATGAATAAGGTATATTTGTTATAATTAATGAACCAATATTGATACATCTTTATTAATTAAAGTCCAGGATTTATTCACATGTCCCTGATAGTTTTTCTTGTTCTGAAGGCTACTTTGAAATTCATAGATCTACTCCAGTTTTCTTAGGATTAGTGTTGGTGTGGTGTGTCTTTTTTAATCCCTTTAGTTTTAAATCTATGTGGGTCTTCATATTTTATTTATTTGTTTATATTTTAAGTCTTACTGCTCTTTTTTAAAAATTTTATGTATTTTTAGAGAGAGGAGAAGAGAGGGAGAAAAAGAGGGAGAGAAACATCAATGTGTGTTTGCCTCTCGCACGCCCCCAACCAGCTTCCTGACCTGCAGCCCAGGCATGTGCCCTGAGTGGGAATCAAACCACTAGCCTTGAGGTTCGCAGGCCAGTGCTCAATCCACTGAGCCACATTAGCCAGGGCTGGGTCTTCATATTTAAAGTGTATTTCTTTTGTATTGAGTTTATTGGGGGGACATTGGTTAGTAAAATTATAGAGGTTTCAGATGTACAATTCTGTAACACATCATCTGTACACTGTGTTGTGTGTGCACCCAAAGTCAAGTCTCCTTCCGTCCCCATTTATCCCCCCTGTATAAAGTGGGTTTCTTGTAGAAACGTGTATTTGAGACTTTTGTTTTAATCCCCTCTGACGGTCTCTGTGTCTTAGTTGATGTACTTAGAGAGGGGAAGGGAGGGAGAAAGGGGGGAGAGAAACATGGATGTGAGAGAGAAACATTGATCAGTTGCCTCTCATATGCACCCTGGCCTGGGACCAGACCCACAACCCAGGCATGTGCCCTGACCTTTTACCTGGCGGGATGACGCCAACCAACTGAGCCACACTGGTCACAGCTGACACTCTTCCTTCCTTCATGTCGATCCTAGTTTCTGACCCATGCCATTTTCCTTCTTTCTGGAGAACTTCTTTTAACATTTTATAAGGCAGGTCTATTGGCAACACGGTCCCTCAGTTTGTGTTTGTTTGAGATATATTTATACTTTACTTTTGAAGGATAATTTTTCTGGAAATAGGATTCTAGATTGGTGGATTATTTTCTTTTGACACTTAAAATTATTCATGTCCCTCTCTTCTTGCTTGTATCTAAGAAGTCCAGTGTCATTCTTATCCATGTTCTTATCTGAGTAAGTTATTTTTTTCTGTACTTTTTGGAAGGTTTTCTGTTTTGTTTTGTTTTTTTACCAAAAAATATATTTGTTGGGTTTTGAATATGGTGTGGTGTTTTCCTACTTGGTGTTCTCTGAGCTTCCTGGATCTGTGCTTTGGCTTGTGTCATTAATTCTGGAAAATCCTCAGCCATTATTTTTCAAAGTATTTCTCCTCCTTTCTCCTTACTTTTGTTGGTATTCGTGTTACATGTATGTTATACCTTCTGCATTTGTCCACAGTTTTTGGATATTTCTTTTCCTTCTGGGTTTCCCCCAGCATTCTTTTGGCTCTTTGAATTTCAGTTTGGGAATTTTAATGGACATATTTAAGCCTGCTGATTCTCTCCTCAAGTCTACTGATGAGCCTGTCAAAGACATTCTCCTATGTTTTATAGTGTTTTTAGTTTCTGGCATTTCCTTTGAATTCTTTCTTAGAGAGCATCCTTCTCGCTGCTCACATTATCCACCTGTTCTTGCTTTTTCCATTAGTGCTCTCAACCTTTTAGTCACAGTAATTTTAAATTCCCAATCTGATTATTCCAAAATCTGTATCATGCCCGAGCCTGATTCTGATGATTGCTTTGTCTGTGCACACTTTTCAGCATGTCTAGTAGTCTTTTTTTGTTGTGGAAAGCCAGATAATATGTACCAGGGAATAGGAACTCAGGTAAATTGGCTTTTAGTATGAGATCCTATGGCTGGGACCTGAGCTGTGTTTAATGTCAACACCACAGCTGTAGGTGTCAGAGATTTCAGATTTCTTCTAGTGTCTTTTCCCCCTTCCCTGTTGTCTTTGAGTTTCTCTGTGAAGTCCTTACATAGAGTTATGTCTAACAGCTTTCTCAGTTGTAATCTACTGTTATTATGCTGGAGCCCTGCTGATGGGCTGGTACAGAGGTGATCAATAGGATTGGATCTCACCCTTTCAGTGGCCTGAGACCCTAGGCTATGAACTTTAAAGTGTTCTCAGGTGAGACAGAAGGGTATAGATTGTTGGAGAGCTCATCTTTGTTCTGCTAGGTCAGCCAGGACTCTGGAAAAGTCTTCTACTTGAGAGCATTCTTTGTTTTGGAGGATGCACTGGGTATATTTTTAGATAGTTGCTTTTCCTCTCCTCCCCAAAACAGAAGGGCCTTTTCTTGGAGTTGCAAGAACCTGGTGGGGTTTCTGGAGGTGAAACCCATGAAAACTTCCTAACACCAGCTTCCAGAAGTTCTTACTCTCCAGCAAGTTCACCCACGTCCTTTAGCAATTTGTGAAAGTTTTGACCCCAGCACCTTCTGTGTAAGGGGATGCAGTGTTGTCTGTGGTCCTCTCAGTGTGCCTGTCTCTCTAGTTTTCAGGTTGGCGGTTTGCCCTGTCACCTCACTTCTCTGATGGACCAAAGGAAAGTTGTTGATTTGCAGTTGGTTTGGTTCAGCTCTTTTTCCTATTAGGAGTGGGGGATGGTGATGACTTCTAAGGTCTTTAGGTGTCTGAGGGGAACCCAGAATTCAGCAGGGAATTTTCAAAAGGTAGTTTATTTTCCTTACACAAAAGTGTAGCCAGCCCAGGGCAGGTAGGGCAGTGCTGTGATCATGTGATACCCAGGGGACTTTGGTCTTGCCACTTTGTGGTCCTCAACATGCAGCTTGTGTTTGGAAATGGCTTTTCTATCACACGATATTCCAGCTGTTCTGCAGGAAGGGAGAAGGTCAGAGCCCTTTTCTTTAAGATACCCTTGTTCTTTAAGGATGTTTCCTTGAGGTTGCTCTCCCTACTTGTGATTCTACTCAAACTCCTGGACCCTCAGTTCACATGGCTACCCCGGCTGCAGCAGAGGGTGGGAGATGCAGCTTTAACTCAGATGTATCACTGAAGGATGGAATGGGCAGCAATTAGCAGTCTCTTCCACAACAGTGTTCCAGAGCTTTCCTCAGATTGTCAGTGTTGTCTGTGACACAGAGGGGCTTGAGAAACTCTGCTCTGCAGAGTGGCTGAGAGTCAGGGTCACAGAGTGTCAGCTCCTTGCCAGCACTGAGATCAGTGCACCCGGAGCACTTAGCTTAAGCAGAATCCCATGTGCTTCACTCACCCTTGCTGAAGGCTTGCTCTGGCTCAGACACTGAACTGATAATAACCTTGTTCCAACCTACCCTCAAAGTATGACTCTTCTCCCCCGGCAGCTTGCCCAGTCAGCAGCTTGTCTGTGGAGGAAACCAGTCAACGTCTTCTGTGTGAGGCAAGTGGGTTCTACCCAAACAGAATTAACATAACGTGGTGTAAATGGAGCCAGGAGAATTCCCAGTGTGTGAACATTTCTGAGAACGTCACCACTAATGCTGCCATTGCGAATGAAGACAACACATTTAATGTCACTAGCTCTTTGAAGCTGAAGCGCTCTCTGGAACACAATGCGACCTACCAATGTAGGGTAGAGCACGTGTTCTTGTGCACCCCCTGGAGGAGCAACATCACCCTGGGTGAGAACGGTAAGCATCTTCCTGGAGGTTTCCCCCACTCTTCACCTGGAGGGGGTATAATGTAAAACTGACCTTCCCACTCAGTCTAGGCCAAGATGGGGGCCACTGGGGAAGGAGAAGAAGGCTGGTTTGGCCAGCTTTGCCCCAGAGTGAGCAGTGCAGACTAGGTTCCCTGAGCCAGGGTGGCGGTCTTGCAGGTGGAGAGCAGTGACAGCAGTCTCCAGGGTTAGGTTACAGCAGTTTAAGTGATCTGGGTTGTCTGTCTACATGACCTGGAGTGGGAAGCTAGTAGGGGCAAGGGGATGGCACCCTGCTTATGTCCCCTGAGGATAAGGGTCTATCTGGGGCCAGAGACCCAGCTCTGCCAGCAACTGTTCTGGTCGGGCTCCAGGCTCACCACAGACTGTTGGCTGGCAGAGGCTGCATCAGTAGTTCTGTGCCCTGGATGGGGAGTCCTGCAGCTGTCAAGGGCTTTCCCCAGGCACACTAGACCCTTTGCCCAAGATAATACAGCTCTCTTCAGAGCCCCTCCTTCTGGTGGGGTGGGGTTAATTGAGCTCATATCCCAGCTTCTTTGGTCCTGGCTCTGGTCCTAGGGAGGAAGACCCTGCTTGTCCAGTGCATCAGCCTGGAGCTGGGAGGGGTTAGGAGGGCATGGGCTGACTGGGTGTGCCAGGTGGGTCCTGAGTTGTACCTGGAGGGAGAAAAGGGCCAGGATGTGCGTGTGTGGTGTGTGCAGGGATGTGTACAAGGTATGTGTGGCACATGGGGAGTGTGGAATTGAAATACGCCCGCCTTGTGCACATAAGAGGTTTGTCTGGGTGAGTTGTGCATGCCTCTGGGCCACTGTAACAGACCCCACACACTGGGGGGCTTGTAAACAACAGGTTTCATTTCTCACAGTCCTGGAGGCTGGAAGTCAGAGATCAGTGTGGGAGAATGGCGGGTAGGGGCCTTCGTCTGGGGCACAGATTCTTGTGTTTCCTCACTTGGTGGGAGGGGTGAGGGATCTCCCTAAGACCTGTTTTATAAGGGCATTCATTTCATTCATGAGGGCTCCATCCTCATGACCTGAGACCTTCCAGAAATCCCACCTCCAAATACCATTACATGGGGTATTAGGATTCCAACCTATGAATTTTTTGCCGGGGAGGGGGTTGGGAGCACAGACATTCAATACATAGCAGTGAGGTAAGGTGGTATAGTGCTGTGGAAGCTCTGAACACGTGTGTGGCATATTTGTGGTATGTGGTGCTCGACATTGCCATGTGTTTCTGGCAGGTGCTGCACACACTAATGTGTGGAAGAGTATGTGATAGGAATGAAAACACATGTGCCGGAGGAGTGACTGGTGGTCATATCTCTGACAGAAATGACACACAACCACACAGACCTTAGCAGCAGTGGTGTGGGCACTTTGGCCCCTGCCAGTTGGTTTTCTCTTAAGTTTGGCCTCTTCTTTCTCTCTGCAGAATCCGAGCGGAAAGGTGACTCAATCAAGACTGGCTACACTGCATTTTCCTTTTTCACAGTAGTTCTACTGCTTGTAGTAATTGTCTTTTTGAACAGGTAAGGGGTGCTCAAGCAAAGTTGAGCCCTGTGTTTTGGAATTGGCCCTGGGAGTTCAGGGAGCACGGCCAGCAGAGGGTGTTGGACAGTTGTCAGGATCGATGCCGGGGGATCCCGTGTGGTGTGCTTGTAGTGCGTGGCTGATGTTTTCTGATGTTGTGTTGGGGAAGAACTTTCTCATCAGATCTGCATGTAGTGGCTCGTGACTCTGGGCAGGTGCATGGTGAAGGCCCTCTGCCTCCTCACAACACAACTCTCCTCACAACACAACTCTCAGTGTGAGCCAGCCCTCCCTGTGTCAGTGCGCAGCAGGCCTTTGAACCACGTGTGGGCTGCATCGCTGTCCTCACACGTGGAAACCACAGCTCAGAGACGGGCATTCCTTCCCCCAGGTGCTCGTATTTTGTTAGTAGCTCAAAGGGACAACTTAGCACAAGATTTCACGTTTAAACCAAGAATTTCTAACTCTCAGTGGTGTTTCCGAACATGTTTATCCCTAACTGTGGTCCAAATAACAAATGAAGCAGCTCAAGAGACCCAAGAGACCAGTGTAAACATGTTGGTTAAAATGGTTCTGGTTTTCTTTCCTTAAGATTTTATGTATTTATTTGTAGAGAGAAAGAAAAGCAGGGAGAAAGAGAGGGAGAGAGAGAAACATCAATGTGTCGTACAAACAAATCAGTTGCCACCTGTACGCCCCCAGCTGGGGACCGGGCCTGCAGCCTAGGCATGTGCCCTGACAGGAATCCACCCAGCAACCTTTTGGTCCACAGGCTGGCCCTTAATCCACTGAGGCACACTGGCCAAGGCTAAAATGGTTCTAGATAATAAAATTGCCCTCAGTTATTTAGGGGCCTGCCAAGGCAGAATCTGTGCAATAGCTAATACATCTAATTAGAATGCTTTAGGAAAATTAGAATAATCAATTGATTAAGAAAAAAAGTCTGCCTTGGCTGGCGTGGCTCATTAGATTGAGCTTGGGCTGGGAACCAAAGCATCGCAGGTTTGATTCCCAGTTAGGGCACATGCCTGGGTTGCAGGCCACAGCACCCAGCAAGTGCACATTGATGTGCCTCTCCCTCTCTCTCCTTCTTTCTCTCTCTCTCTCTCTCTCTCTCTCTCTCTCTGTCTCTCTCTCTTCCCTCCTTCTCTAAAAATAAATAAATAAAATCTAAAATAGAGAGAAAAAAAGAAAAAAAGTCTGTTTCTTTATCTAAACTTAGCCAGTTGATTCCTGGGACATAGTCTCTCCTGTTTGGACTTCAGTCAATGTGAAAACTGAATATAAAGTGATTTTCAAATGTGTTGATATTTGTGAATGTTCTCATGTTCCTTGCCTTCCTCTAGGTTCTGCTGTCCAGGAGCTGTTGCTGTAAGAGGACACGTCACAAAGTTAGTTAGTGAAGAAGAGACTCCTAAGGCCTTCATTCACGATCACCCTGGATCTCAGGTGGTGTGAGTGATGGCCCCAGGCACCCACCCCGCGCTATATCCTTGTCCTTTGCTGTGTGACTTTGCAGTGCCCTCCTGTCATGGGCTGCCCCTGGACACTGGGCTCAACCTGGGGACTTGCTCTGACCAATGGAGGGAGACAAGTGAAAGAGGCCTTGTGTATTCCCATTTGCTTTCTTTTGTGCTTCTGACCTTGGTGAGAGGAGGACACATCCAGACTGTCCTGCTGGAGGATGACAGACAATGGAGGCTGGAGCGAGCGGCTCTGGAGGAGCCCAGTCTATAGTGAGTCCTCAACAGGGTGCATAGGTTCTGAGACTATAAACAAGATGGTGTATAATGAAACTAATTTCACCATAGGCTAATGAGAGAAACAACAGATTTGTACGGCATCTTGTCCACAGTATAATGACAACGTTGACCAAAACCATGTTATTTGAGGACCATCAGCTGTGCATTGGATGGCAGCCACCCAGCTTCCAGACATGTGAGCTGAGGCCATCAGTGTCAACAGAGCCAACTCTTGAATGTGCCAGAAATATTTTTTAAAAGCCACCGTGTGTTTACGCTGGATTGTTACAACCTAGGTTGGCTTCTTACATAGCAAAAGCTAACCGATATAGCTCCTCAGGAACACGAATTTTGATATAAAAAATGTGGTTGCCACGGATATGTGCTGTGGAGACCCCCTTTGCTATGAAGACTGTAGCAGCCAACACGTTCCAACTGTGTCATCTCAGGGACCCGCTGCAGTGTTCTAGCCCCGGCCAAGCTCCAGCCAGCGGCTGGACAAAGCAGGCATCTCGGGAGCTCCCTGCCAGAGTGCCTTAGCGTTTCTCATGTTTGCACTGTCATCTGAAGCTCTTGCTACCCAATCCTCCCTCCTTCCTCCCTTCCCAGAGGTCAGACCTGCTGCAACATCATCCAAAGACTTTCCTCACCTACTTCTGAGGCCTGTTTCATGGACACTATTTCTAGTAACTCTCATACTTCTAATGCATATTGAAAGCTGCTTCTCAGAAGACCCAACCTAACACGAGAAGGGACTGAAGAACTACAAGGACAGGTGCTTTCATTATGGTGCATTCATGGCGGATGCGGGTGGAGGAGCCACCAGAACACTGAGGGTTCTCACACAGTGACTGGCAACAGAAACCACAAACTTTCTCAGGGAATGTGTGAGGAACCAAAATGAGTTTCCCGATGACACACACAGTTTGCTCCAGAGCAGCCTGTTCAAACTGCCCTCTTGGATACCCTCCGGCCAGTCAGCTTTTTCCAAGAAAAGGGAAAAAAAGCAACAGTTTCCAAAGAAAGTATACAGATGACCAACCGGTACATAAAAAGGTGCTCGGCATCATTAGTCACCAGGAAACTGCAAAGCAGAACGATGAGACATCACCTCACCCCTGCTGGAGTCGCTACTATCAAAAAATAGACAAGAAATGAAAAGTATTGGCCAGGATGTGGAGAAGAGGGAAGACATACTGGTGCGCTGTGGGTGGGAATGAACAGTGGTGCAGCCACTATAGAATGTAGCATGAAGTTCCTCCAAGAAGTCAAAGACAGAACTAACACATGATCCAGACATTCCACCTCTGGGAATTTGCCTGGAGGAAAGACAAACACGGAACTTAGTGTAACTCTATGTTTATTGTAGCATTACTTACAATAGTCAATACATGTACACAACCTAAGTGTCCATCAATGGATGAATGGATAAAGAAACTGTGATGTACACAACACAGACACACACAGAATTATGTACTACTTGACAAAGGGGCTACGTTCTGCGAGATGTGTTGTTAGGTAATTTCATCGTTGTGTTAACATTATTGAACGCACTTACACAAACCTAGATGCTGTTACAGTCTTCCATGCACATAGGCTGCATGGTGCAGCCTGTTGCTCCTGGGCAACAAGCCTGTACAGCATGTTGCTATCCTCAGTACTGGAGGCGGTTGTAATGCAATGTTCAGTATTTATGTATCTCAGCATAGAAAAAGTACAGTAAAAATGTGGTATAAAAGATCAGAAGTAGTACACCTGTACAGGGCACTGACCATGGATGGAGGTTGCAGAACTGGAAGTTGCTCTGGGTGAGCCAGTGAATGTGGAGGCCAGGACGTTGTACTGGTGTAGACTTCACTGCACACTCAGGCTGCACTAAACTTATAAAACAGTAGGAGACTGAATGAAGCACATGAGAAAATGATACAATCAAGAGATGCAGTCAACAGGATTTGAAGCTGCTGCTAGTATAATACCACATACTGTTTACAGCAAACTTATTTGCTTAATTTACTTTTAGGTCGAGGGGACAGGAGGGAGGAAGAGAGGGAGGGAAAATCAATGTGAAAGAGGAGTATAATCGGTTGCCTGTAGTATATTTCTGACCAGGGACTGAACCTGCAACCCAGGTATGTGCCCTGACTGGGAATCAAACTGGTGACCCTTTGCTTTGCTGGACAAGGCCCAACCAACTGAGTCACTCTGTTGGGGTGGAAACTCATTTTTATAGCTAGAAAAAGGATACTCTAAAATAGCAATAAAATTATAGCATAGTAAATCTATGAGCCCATAACAGTATCGTTATGAAGTATTATGTACTGTATATAAATACATACATTTTATACATATATTTATATGACTGTCCGGGCAGCAGGTTTGTTTACACCAGCATCACCACTAACACATGAACCATGCACTGTGCTAGAACACTAGGGTGCCTGTGACTTCACTAGGTGATACGAATTTTTAGCTCCACTGTAAGCTCATGGGACTACCATTGTCCAAAGGAACATGGTGACCAGAATTGTTGGTACTGCATGGAATATTTGAAAGTTGCTAAAAGAAAATGTTAAAAGTTATCATAGGAAAAATTTTGGAACTATAGAGACATGAATTTTAATTAGACTCTTTGTGGTGATTATTTTGCAATATATACAAACTTCAAATCTTATACAAGGGAAAATAATATATGCCAGTTTTACCTTAATTAAAAAAAGAGGGGGGAGATAGAGAAAAGAACACTTATTGACGTGTTTCCATTTCAAATGCTATTTCTTCGTTCATTGAGATGAATCTGTATGTGCCAATATATGAATAAGTCTTGACTTTTAATTTATACCTGACTTATTCTTTGGTAGAAGGTAAGTGACTTGCCCCCACCCTCACCCCGACCTCCGGTCTCATGAGTAGGAAAGGGTGGAGCTTAAATTTGTAATCAGTGTCCCATACCGTCCAGGAAGGTCCAGGGTGGGGTCGGGCTGGGAGTGATGAGCTTGGTCACTAATTCGGTCTAGAGGAGAGGCTGGCTCAGTACAGTTCCAGTCAGTTCTTAGGGGAGGACGTGTTGGTGGGTGAGCTTGGCCCTTGCCTCACTTTCTGTAAGCGAACCCAGGTGGCTGATGCCGTTCCTAGTTGGATGAAAGTGTGGGCGCCTCTGCCAGGACAGGCTGACAGGGCTGGGGAGGGTCTCAGGCCAGACATTGGCCGTGGGCAATGTACAGAGTGGTTCTGAATGCAATGATCAGGGGCGTGAAGTTGTATTTGTGGACCTTTGTGGGGCAGCTCCAGAAGCTGGAGTAATGGCTCAGAAACAGTTCTTAGGTCTTAAGTCTCTTGGCTTAGAGTAGCGATTTTCAAGCGCTGTGGGGCACGCTGGTGTGCTGCAAGAAGTTTTAAAACTTGCAATACTTGCTAGCCAGAGGCTCTGACCTTTTTCCCCTTAGACTGTCACATAAGGAGATGACACAACAGCCAACACAAAAGCCATCTGATAGGAATATTTAAAAATTATACTTATTTTTTTGGTCAGAGTGACAGTTTTTGGTGTATCGCAGAATTTTAGTATTTAGTTGATGTGTGCCTTGAGATGAAAAAGGTTGAAGCTCATTTAAAGGGATGAATAGAATACTCCCCATTGTTGAGCTTCCCACCAGAGAGTGTTAAGAGTGGCCACTAGTGGTGGCATGCGGGGATTGCAGCATCCGTGTGGCTGGAGCCTGTTTCAAGATAATCAGAGGACCCAATAAATTTCCAAGAGGAGGGTTCAGTCAATCTCCCAGTGGAAGGAGGCAAATGGCAACAGTGGGATTAGGGAACAAAGGGAGCAGTCCAAGCTGTTTACTGTGGCTGAAAGAGAATGACACTCTTTGGAAAAAGTAATAAAGCAGATGTGATTTTATCAATTTAGTAAAAGACAATTTTGTAGAGAATCTGATAGAACAGCAAAATAATACAAGGGAAAAGTACAAGTAGACAGGGAAATCACAGATGAGGTATCATTAGAGGAAAATGAAAATATCAGATGTGAAATGTGGGGAATGTTAAATGGACAGCACTGACTGGAAGGGAATCTGTGCTGTAGATAAAAGGGATGAAAGAGTCACTAAACTGAGGAAGAAGTATGCTGGTCAGACCCGAAGAGAAGCTCAAAAGAGGCAGGTTATGGAATGATTTTCCTTCTTCCCCTTCCAAAATGGATGGGAAACCAAGCACCCAGGAGTTTAACAAAAGAGTCTTAGTCAGAACTGAGCATTTACTTGTCTCTGGGTTACTCTGGAGTGACTCCTGTTCCCCAATAACAATGGCCTTATGAGAAAATCTGGGCTTGATGAAATAAAGAAAATACAGAGGCAGGGCCCCCCAAATCCGGCTTGCTCCACTTGGGTGCTGGTGGTCTGTGGAGGGAGAGTTTGGGGTGTATTTGTGCTGCCAGGAATGTCACCCCTTCAGAAAGGGGAGCTGTGTGCCTGAAGGAAGCTCCCAGGTACCGCTGACCCGGCCCACACTTGGTACACCCTTGCTTCTGCCAGGGGAGGGCGTACATTTGTGTAGTCGCATAGGCCCTTTGCATTAGTTTCCCACTCATTGGCATCCTGTGCCCAAGCTGGGCAGCCTCAGTGGCCTGTCTTTCACGTCACTTCAGAGGTGGGCCTGCCCAGAGCGGAAATAGAGTAGGTGTAGGTAGCACCTGCTGCCCTTGCCATGAAGATACACCATGCCCCAGGCAGGGGGACCTGGAAGAGAAGGTGCCAAAAATTTAGATTCCAGTGCAATAAACCCACTTTCTGGAATGCAGTTCGGATCTGAGTGCCACTGTTCTGTGTTTCGCCAGCTTCTCTGAAGCTGGAACAGACCACAGATCTGTTGTTCTTCACGCCTGCCCTAGTCTGGAGGCAACATGACTTTGGTATGCAAAATTCTCCCTATCCCCAAAGTCTTCTGCATGTTTTGGTACAAGATAAGGTGACTGACACCTGGACCTGGGGGAGACCTCAGAGATGAGCCCAGAGACATGCAGGGAGCCACGACTACTCTACTCCCAGTGGAAAGCTCCTTAGGAAAGTTCTCCCTAAGGAAAACTGTGGGGTAGGAGCTCATGTGCAGGATGGGGCCAGGAGGGCACCATCTGTGGAGAGTGGGTTCTGTAGAAGCTGGGTGAGACCCCTCTGTGGAAGGGCCATACCCGGGCATGGTGGTGACTGGCTGGAGATGCCAAATCCATAGGCGTTGCCACAGCTAAGCTTGTCATCAGCCTCAAATCGGAGACTCAGGGAGGCTCAGGGAGTTCCTGAGTTACACTGTCCCTCTTGCTCTTGATCTAGAGAGCAGAGTCTGTGGTATATTTGACACTTTGGAAAGGCGGTACTCTGAGTAAAAGCCTGAGATCAGGTCACTGGGACTGTGCAGGAGTGTGAGACAGACTCGGGTGCAAATCTTGGGGCTGCCACACCAAAAGTTGTGAGACTTTGGGAAGTTGATGTCACTTCTGATCTTGATTCCTCATCTGCAAAGTTGGAGAACAGCATCTGCATCAGCACTGGACCACAGTGACCTGAGGTGCTGCCCTCCCCTCCCCAGGGGCCTGGGGGACAGCCAAGTCTGCACGCAGATTTTGGACTGATGTGGACTGCTCTGTCTGCTCTGGTGTGATGTCCAATGCTGTCCGGGGGCAGAATATCAGACACCAAACTCTCACAGAAGTTCCTGCTGGGCTATGTGGAGCTCAGGGGAGCTTCCTTGGGTTAGTCCAGTGCTTTCAAGCAGGGGTGCCCCTGGATGAAAGGGGCACTATCAGTGGGCAAAAACATTCACAGGGGTCAGAAAAGGGTTGGTCCAGATTCCCTTCCATGCCTGACACTCTCAAGCTCCTCCCTGAGCTAAACCTTAAGTCTAGGACCAGAGCCCTGATATTCTGGGATCAAGTAGGTCTTCCCTGTGGCCAGCAGGTAGGGCTCAGCCCTGAGTTCTGCCAGTTCACTGTCACAGCAGCTAAAGGTTTGAGGGGCTGGAGGAAGGTTACTCTGGATGGGATCCCAAGGATGGTGCTGCCAAAGGGTTTCACAGGGAGTCTGGCCCTCCCTCTGGCCTCCAGAACAACCAATCTAAGTCTCAGAAAGTCTGGGATGACTCTGAGTAGCTTTTCATTTTTTCCCTTCCAGTCAGAAATGGGTTAGCTGAGGAAGGAAGGGAATCAATGCTGGGGGACTGTGTGGTGCAGGGAGAGGGCAGCTCAGAGCTTGGAACAGAAGCAGCAGCTTCCTGGCTCTCAGCCCTGCCTCTGGAGTCTCCAGGGACAAACTCTCACTGATCCAGGAACAAGCCCTCTGCAGGCCTCAAATTGTAGCAATAACCCTGGATTGTTGTTCTGCACACCATCCACCCATCCCTCCATCCACCCATCTAACCATCCCTCCATCATTCATTGATTCAGCAGTAACTCAGTGCCAGGCACATACTAAATCAGGCACAGTCCCTCTCTTCAAGGAGCCACGGGCTTTAAGATGGGGAGACAGGTTCACAAACGTAGGCCAAAGGAGAATGCACACACTCACAGAGGGGGCGGGGCCATGTCTTTCCAGAACAATCAGGGAAGGCTTTGAAAAGGCGTGCTTTGGTCTGGACTTTTATGGATTTCAGCAGAGATGACATCTGGGCAGTCCAGGCAAAGGGAGTAATGCAGGCAAAGGCTTGGAGGTTGGAGGTCAATGTTATATGCAAAGAGGGCACAGGAAGGCAGCCAGAGGAGTGGGAGGGGACACTGGAAGGCTGGAAAGCAGGCAAAGCCTGAAATGGCTGGGTACAGGTCTGGCCTTGACCCAGAAGGTGACGGGGAACCACTGCTGGTAGTGGACGTGGGACAGGATGTTCACAGGCCTTTTCAAAAGAGCCCTGGTGGTGGTATTGCAGATGGACTGAGGGGTGAGATGGAGACAAGAAGACCAGGTAACAGGCCCTGCCACAGCCCCTGCAGATTAGCTCAGACAGGACACAGGGAAGAGACAGGACCAGGCACAGACACTCATCGCCCTCTCTCTTAACGTCTGCTTGATCGGACGTCTCATCGTGTGGCTGATTCAACCACAGTCACCACAGTTAGCATTTCCTGAGCACTTACTATGGACCAGGCACTTCAGTATTTTACGTGTATTTTTTACTTACTCCCACAACAGTTCTATGACATAGGCATGATTAATAGCCCTACATTTTAGATGAGGCAACTGAGGCAAAGAGAGGTGAAGTTACTTGACCAAGGTTGTAGAGCGAGGGCCAGGATCTGAACCCAGGCAGCTAGCCTGACAGCTTATGCTCCAGTCACTTGGCTAATGCATATCATGGCCCCGCCTCTCTCCCTGAGCACCCCAGCTTTCCAGCAGATTCCTGAGTGGAGGCAGGGCTATAAGCTGCGTGGGTGTCCAAAGTTGGAATGGCCAGAGAGGCTGGCAGGGCTGGGCTGCCTGAGGCGAACAGGGAAATGTTCCCCTTGAACTGGGGAAGACCAGCAGCCTCAGGGGTATTCAAGGGCCTCCAGACTAGGGTGCATGGCACCTCTGGAATGAGAGGTGGCCGCTCCAGCTCCTGCCTTCCCTGCCCACCAGCATGCCTCCCAGCTCCCCAGCAAGA